AACTAAATTCAAATATTTGAGCAGTAGCCTAGACCATCAGACACATGAGTTCCTGAAAGTATGCCCAAACCTTTGACTGGTATTTATTTATGTATTTTAACAATGGCTACAGCAGTTAAATTAAAATTAAAATACATATGTGGATTATGTTAATTATTACACAAAGTACAACCAAATGTCTAATGTATATAGTGTTTTTTTTTTAACTAATGTAGTACTGTTTTTACTAGTTTTCATTATTTGTCTCATTTTCTCATGCCATTAGATTCATTGGCTGGCAGTGAATGGAAGGACAGAGCTACTTCATGACCTGGTGCAGCATGTGTCTAATGTGGACGTGGAGGACGCCATGGGCCAGACAGCCTTACATGTGGCCTGCCAGAATGGACACAAGACTGTACGAAAACTCTCTGACTCCATAGCTTGCACACTTGATTACAGGATTGCCAGCCAATGAAGTTCAGAAGAAGGATTTTCGTTTATTTTTTAAGGTTCATATGATGTTTTGTGTTTCTCACAGACAGTGCAGTGTCTTCTGGACAGTGGAGCGGACATCAACAGGCCCAATGTCTCTGGAGCGACTCCCCTCTATTTCGCCTGCAGGTGAGCAGCTAACCGTCATTAACTCCAAAACTACCAGCTGCCAATGCAAATGTATAATGTTTACCATGATTACTGTTTATTTCACTCCGGCCTGAACTGGAAATGTGTGGCCAACCACTAGAATGTGACCCCTTAAGAAAATTAGCTTCCATTCAGTGACTGAATCTGGACGCTTTCTGACTACACAAGAAACATAATTAGGAAAATTAGGGGTTTGTACAGATATTTTGCCAGTGTATATCCTTTAAACACACAGCTTTCTTGTGAGTTTGACAAGAAGAACAAGGAAATTCAACTTTCTTTGCTGTAAGGCTAATAAGAATGTAGTCTGATGAAGATGTGCCACTGTTGGTATTCTGAGTGCACTGCTTTGGATACGCTCACATTAGTTTGGTTGCTGAGCAACAACACTCCATCCATATCTTGTTTTGATTACATTTTGCCACTGATATCAGTCCACTCAAGGCTGATGACGATGTGATCAACACTAACATGCCTCACAACAGATAATTAAATAGAGTAATTAAACATACGCTTAATAGGTTTTTAAAACAGGAAATCTGGACCTGTTTTGACTCTTGTAATTTCATATCATTTTTTGTGATGCTTATGTGTTGTAAATCAACCATACACATTTGTTCTGGTTCGGGGAATGGCACTGCCTTTATTATAAGTGGACAATACAATGCTGAAGAGTTATTTAGCAGAATGTCTTGAGCTGTACAATGAAAAAAGATGGTAACTAGTCGTGCTACAAAAAGGATGGAAAAATAAATATACTGTATGCAAATATATAAGCACAATATGTCTAGCTAAGCATATTTGATTCACGTTAGGCACATTATCGAAATGTTATCGGAATCGGCCGCCATATGACTTGTGTGCTACATCCAAGTCCTTTTTCAGCACTCTTGCCTTAATAGTAATGGTGGAGAGAGGCAGGACCACCGGACTGGGGAAGGACCTTGAGCCAGGCCTCGAACTCAAGTCATCCAAACCATTTTGATAGCTTTGTGTGAGGATCAGAACAGAACATTCTGATTCTGATCATTAACATAGTCATCATTTACTTAAAATATGTACTTTCACCCATTCAAATCTGCCGTGTTCATGATGCACTTAAGAACTTGTGGGATCTAAACGTGTTCCCATGGATGGGAGATGTTGATATTCATGCAATTTACGAGGTTTTGTCATTGTATTCATGCATGTATTCAGTCATGGTCAGAGGGACACCGCACAGATACTGCTCTTCAGGGGAGCCAAGTATTTGCCAGACAAGAATGGGGTTACACCGCTTGACCTGTGTGTGCAGGTGAATGCAGCATGCGTACATTACACTCAGGTACTCATAGGAAGGCTACTAAAACTCATATGTAACTACTTTTAGGGTGGTTATGGTGAAACATGTGAAATTCTCATCCAGCACCATAGCAGACTGTTTCAGACACTGATAAAGATGACGCAGAATGATGACATTAAAGAGAACATGGTATGTCTCTTTTTCCCTATCCATGTTTCTTGATGTGTTTATGTGCATAAGTGATTTTGAATATGATTTTTAAGTTAAGGCAGGTTCTAGAACATGTCTCACAGCAGAGTGACTCCAGCTATCAAAGGATCTTGACCAGCTTGGCTGAGGTGGCCACCACAAATGGACATAAACTGCTGAGGTGTGTCTCAGGCTATGTCATCCATGATTCTTGAGGAATTGTATTACTTAGAACTTCCTTTAAGCAAAGTTATTTCTCGCTCTGTTTCCATTCAGTTTGTCCAGTAACTTTGAGGTCCAAACAAAGAGCTTGCTCCGAATTATCCGGATCTTCTGTCATGTGTTCTGTCTTGGGCCGTCCTCCCCAAACAACGGGAATGACATGGGTTACAACGGAAACAAGACACCACGTAACCAGGTGTTTAAGGTCAGTGGGCATTACATTGCCAATACATCTTACTTAAATGTTAATTATAAATGTTCAAATACTTAAAGAAAGTGATGTTCTGTTTGGCCAAAATGTTTGGTTCTTGTAGCATGCATTAATCAGTGGACAATATGATAGATTTGGCATATTAGACTGAAAACATAAGACATGCATAACATTATGATTAATATGCTCAAACTTATATTGTAGATTCAGAATGTTTAATGAAACTAAAATACAGTTTACTTAATACTTAAAAACGTTTTGGCTACACAGTTGCATTTATGTATAGATTTAATTGATTTATCCTTGTCGCAGACCCAGACATACACTTAATATTAAACTCTGACAATCCATCATAAAAATATACACTTTAAACATGTTTAAAATGTTGATGATTTAAGTTGGTCTAATGGATGAAATAAAAAAGCCAATATTTATTGTACCAAAAAAATACAAACCTTTCATTTATTTATTTGCTTGTTTGTGTGTCTGTCCCACAAGCATTGTTTCTATCACAAAGGAACATTTTGCAACTAATAAAGTATTATCAAAATTGAATGTATTTGTTTACAGGGTTATAACTGTGTCATATTTAAAGAAAAATGAATAAAAATAAAAGAACATATTTTTGTGAACTGATTCTTTTTATTTTACATGAATTCGTTCTGCCAAATTATGCCCCAAAAATAGCATTAAAAATATAAAATGCTAAATTAAAAATATTCAAACTGGCTTTAGACACAAATTTAAATAACAGCCATATTTACTAAACCGTTTTAAACCAACTTCCATGCAGAGACTTCAGTGAACATTTTTGACTGAGTCTGTGTCAAAAAGAGACTTAGATTTACAAAAATGAATCAAACCTGCCAAATTTGTTGATGTCTTTCAAGTTTATATTTTAGCCTGAGATATTATTAAAATATCTGTTTTAACGTTTCCATGGAAGTCACGGCACAAGGATTCTAATAAGATCAGACAGATATTCACAGTGTCATATAGCGTATATTTTAAATATCAATATATCACGTCACCCTAGCATCGAACATTGCATAGATGAACATGCAGGCTGCTGTAGAATGGAATAGTCTCTCACAATTGGAAATACCAAAGCTGTCTCACCTGCTGAAAATGAATCAAACCTGCCAAATTTGTTGATGTCTTTCAAGTTTATATTTTAGCCTGAGATATTATTAAAATATCTGTTTTAACGTTTCCATGGAAGTCACGACACAAGGATTCTAATAAGATCAGACAGATATTCACAGTGTCATATAGCGTATATTGTAAATATCAATATATCACGTCACCCTAGCATCGAACATTGCATAGATGAACATGCAGGCTGCTGTAGAATGGAATAGTCTCTCACAATTGGAAATACCAAAGCTGTCTCACCTGCTCTCGTCTTGTGTAGCACATCTTTGTTGAAGTGATGTTCTCTTGTGTGGCTGTTTAGCCTCTGGAGCTGTTGTGGCACTCTCTTGATGAATGGCTGGTCCTCATCTCCACTGAGCTGGATAAGGAGAGCACGGACGCAACAACCTCATCCTCAGGAAATGACATTGCGTCACTTTTCCTGAAAAAGCAGGAGGTCGACCCCTCCGTTTCCAGCGAAAATCCCCCACTGTTGCTGGACGCCAAGTCGGTGATGAAGACGCCGGAGGGTTACGCCGATGGTCAGGATGTCATCTCTATGATAGCCAATCGCCTGAGCGCTGTGATCCAGGCCTTCTACATGTGCTGTTCCTGTCAGATGCCACGTGGGTAAGACTGACCCCAAACTTAAAAGTTTCTTTCCACTTCACAAAGACAATTTTAGAAACGAAACTGCAGAGAACAGCTTGTTCGTAATTCTCAATAGTTATGAGATCATGACCATGGTGCTGGCATTGCTAATGTCATAGGTTTGATTCCACGCATAGTGGCAAAATGTATAGCTTGAATGCACTGTAGGCCGCTTTGGATAAAAGCATCGATAAAAGCATGTGAACTTTATAAGTGGAGCTAAAAGCTTCAGAAGTGTGGAATGCGACCCCTGTGAAGTTCATGGGAAGTACAGGAGATCCAAGAATAGTGTTTTAATAGACGTCTACTCATGAGCTCGTTCGGTGTGAGTGTTCATAATGTCTCCTCACCCCGACCCCACTGCCTTTCTGTTACGGGTATCTGTGTGACACTTGTCTTCTAAGCCCATAGGTGGGGTTGTGGGGGTTTCCCATTCCGTGAGTCGCGTGACGTCATCCAGGATTCTGGATAAATAGGCTGCGAGGCGACAATGGCTGTCTCTCTCTCTCTCTGCTGCTCCGCTTCCCATTGTTCTCGCAAGCGTCTCTCTCATCGCCTCTTTGAGGCTATTTTTTTGTTGTTGTTGCTTTTCTTTAAGTTTAGGTTTAACTTGTAAATTTGGGTTCTGATATGTGATCTATTTTCTTACTTACCAGTAGCGGGTAGTGTATTTATTTATTAGTTCACGTTTTTATTTAGTAAGAACAGAGCGAGGGAAGCAGGGGTCCGGAAGACTCACCAGTTCTTATTTTTATCTCGGGAGTCAGGTAAGAACTCTACTCTGAGAACAGGGGTAGTCAGGAGTCTGTTTCCCTATAGCTTTCCTACCCGTGATCTGATTATTTTCTTGTTGTTATTTATTAGATTGTTTATAAAATATTCTTTGTGAACTGTTGCACATTATTTGCTGGAGATGTGAGTTGAACTCTGCGAGTTAATTAAATGGAGGCGTCTTGAAATTCACATCAGGTGTCGTGATTCTTTTTAATATGTTCGGCCTGTGTCCTTTTATTGGATGGTTTGAATTAACGAGCCTTAAAATGGTTATGGGCCGTAACAACTCCATCATTGAGAAGGAGGCGCTCGCTCTTGTCCTTGCTCTCCAACATTTCGACGTTTACGTGGGTTCCGTTTCGTGTCCATTGATTGTTTATACAGATCATAACCCTCTAGTCTTTCTGAATCGAATGAAAAACAATAACCAACGTTTGATGCGTTGGAGTTTGTTTTTGCAACCGTTTGAATTGGATATCCGGCATATTCGTGGTAAAGATAATGTCGTTGCTGACGCTTTATCTCGTGTCTAATGGGAATAAATTGTATTTTCCCTCTTTTTAAAAAAAATAAAATAAATATATAGAGAAGGATGGAGAAAAAGGTAAGATCTTTTGCATTTCTACAATTTATTCACTTAAGGGTGAGGGTGTTACGGGTATCTGTGTGACACTTGTCTTCTAAGCCCATAGGTGGGGTTGTGGGGGTTTCCCATTCCGTGAGTCGCGTGACGTCATCCAGGATTCCGGATAAATAGGCTGCGAGGCGACAATGGCGGTCTCTCTCTCTTTGCTGCTCCGCTTCCCATTGTTCTCGCAAGCGTCTCTCTCATCGCCTCTTTGAGGCTATTTTTTTGTTGTTGTTGCTTTTCTTTAAGTTTAGGTTTAACTTGTAAATTTGGGTTCTGATATGTGATCTATTTTCTTACTTACCAGTAGCGGGTAGTGTATTTATTTATTAGTTCACGTTTTTATTTAGTAAGAACAGAGCGAGGGAAGCAGGGGTCCGGAAGACTCACCAGTTCTTATTTTTATCTCGGGAGTCAGGTAAGAACTCTACTCTGAGAACAGGGGTAGTCAGGAGTCTGTTTCCCTATAGCTTTCCTACCCGTGATCTGATTATTTTCTTGTTGTTATTTATTAGATTGTTTATAAAATATTCTTTGTGAACTGTTGCACATTATTTGCTGGAGATGTGAGTTGAACTCTGCGAGTTAATTAAATGGAGGCGTCTTGAAATTCACATCAGGTGTCGTGATTCTTTTTAATATGTTCGGCCTGTGTCCTTTTATTGGATGGTTTGAATTAACGAGCCTTAAAATGGTTATGGGCCGTAACACTTTCTAATGATTATGTTATTAGACCATTAAATCACTCTTTAATTAATGCATCATTTATAGACTCTCATTGGCAAGTCTGAGACCTTGCATACTCTTCTTTTCGTTTTCTTTTTTCTTCCCTGATATCTAGCATGACCTCCCCTCGATTCATCGAGTTTGTCTGTAAGCATGATGAAGGGCTCAAGTGTTTTGTGACGAGGTAAGTCGAGAGTGTTTATTTAAATGCATTTATTTAATAAGAGGAGAGAAAGAAAGATGTACACTAGCTGTACATGCTAGCTGTAGATGATGTACACAATCACTGAAAAAGTTTTGGGTCCGTAAGATGTTTTTTTTTTTTAAAGAAATTAATACTTTTGTGCAGCTTGAACGCATTAAATCACAGTTTCCACGAAAAAAACATTAAGCAGCATATAATAAGAAATGTTTCTTGAACAGCAAATCAGCATATTAGAATGAAGGATCACGTGACACTGACGACTGGAGTAATGGCGGCTGAAAATGTAGCTTAATATATTAGAATAGAAAACTAGAATATTTCAAAATATTACAGTTTTTACTGTATTCCTTATCATGTAAATGCTGCCTTGAGCAAAAGTTGGTAACACTTTATTTTAAGGTCCAATTCTCACTATTAACTAGTTTCTTATTAGCATGCATATTACTAGCATATTGGCTGTTTATTAGTACTTATAAAGCACATATTAATGCCTTATTCTGCATGTCCAT